GAGACCGAATTTGGAATATGTTTTAGCGTCTATTTCATATTTTATAAAACTTTAACGATTTTTAATTAAAACACTCAGCGATGTCAGCACTGTAAGGCGAGCTGTGGCAACACTGTAAGGAAAAAACATTTTTATCTCCGGCACGCGAGACTCTCTATCGGAAATTCTAAAGCTCTGCTGTTTTTAAATATTTGTAGCCTAATGTCGCGTTAGTTCAAATGTTCTTGAAACGTGTATGTATCTGTAAATGAAAAAAATGCCCCTTTTGGGGTAATATAAAATCTGAAAGCTTTCCTATTTTTTTATTTGCAGGTATATAAATATGAGGATATATAATGTGTTTTTCCTGAAGACATGCATATTTAGCAAATGAAAATGAACTAAGTTCTCGCCCGGAGTCCGGCATAGAATAATGGAAAATTCGGCTCGGTACATTTAATGACTACGCCATAACAGCAGTAAAATATTGCGAAATGTTTCTCGATTTTCCGTAAGCATGTCAAACAATATCGCTTTGTGCAATGTGACCTTTTCTTTTGGATAATTAGAGCTCACAAATTCGTCAACAACCCTCAATCAACTGAGACTTGAACCCACATGCCTATAGATAGTAAACAATAACAAGTATGCAACTTAATCGTTGTGCTCACTTTTTTCCTCTGCTACCAAGCACGCAGTTCCTAATCCTTCGGCAGCGGGGAGTGTGTTAGAGAAAGAAAGATTGACGCGAAGCTGGGGCTATTTATAGAAAGTCTGCTGCAGAAATACATCCATGTCGCGACAGAGCTCACTTGATTCAGCTTGTTGATCTTGACCGTCGTCCATTATAGTCTCCTCCAATAGCTGGAGACTTGAGTTGAACGTCATTGCAGCTTATGAAAGCGACCTGGGATATTTTTACTAGGTTTCATCTGCCTAATATAGACTTTTGCCCGCAAATAGATCTTCGATCCTTTGAGGAGGGGTAATTTTGGCGGAACGGTGTGAGTATTTTTGGGACGGCATTGTCACTAACGATGCAGGGACACCACTGGGTCGAAATGAGATGCGACAGATGTCTTCAAAATATTCCTTTCGGGAATTCTAATACGGAAAGAACTTTATTTAAAATGTAAGGTAATTTAATCTTTGCTGCATATAAAGTTCGTATTTATGTAACTCTATTAGCTTATTTTTATTAACATATAATTTCTTACGATAAAGCCTTTCAGCCTTTATACATTAACCAGCAACTTATCAGAAATGCAGATTAAGTGATTTTAAATATTGAGCGACAATGAGGAATAATAGAGGAAGAATGTTGGTAATTTTTGCGAGTAGCTCTGCAGCGGCCATACTTTACTGATGATTCAATATCTGAAATAGATTCGTTGAGTTCTAGCTTTGCTAGTATTATGTTGGTATTCGCGGTTGCTTTTGAAAAAACAGCTTATCTGTCTTTAATCTACTATTTCATTTGTAAATATTTAAAGTGTTCTATTCTCAGGTTACAAAAGCAATTGTTAAATTCTGGTTTGTAAACAATCAGCCTGTAGTTTGAATAAACATTTAGTTGATAATGCTTTCGCTGTACTTATTTTATATTACTAGATTTTAAGAGAAAGACCGAACTATAATTCGTCTGCTGTCTAGGAACAGTCAACAAGTGTTTAGATTTAGCTAAATTTGGCTTAAGCCAATATGCTAACATTCCAGTAGATCAGATGCCTACGAGTTTGTGATAAAGAGAGAAAGTCGCCCCTGTGTTGCATCCTCAATAATATTTTCGGAAATGAAACTGCTAAATGACAAATGACTAAGAATTTAGCCATTTCCAATGATTACTTAAGGAGCAAATGTTTGGCCATTCTTGAAGAGAGATATATGTACTAAATTTCGTGTTTATGTAACTTACTTACATTAAAATTGTTTTGCCAAAAGAACATTTTTGCCGCATGTTAATGGTTATTAAATCTTTTGGTAAGGTACGCTCTCAAATCTCATCATTTGACAAATAAAACAGCAAAACCTTGAAGTTTTATCCAACATAACATTGTAGAAGCATCGGACTAGGCTATGATCGACAGAGGGAAAGTTCCCAATTTCTGGAAAGTTACAAGCGTATTTGTATACCACTTCATTAAGGAAATAATCAACATTTGACGACGCTCTAAAACAATGAGATTTCCTTTTCTTTTGGAGTACATTGAATTAATACATGAGTACATACACATGACTAATAAACACGAAATTATATCCAAATATCAGGCCAATCATTCCAAGTCATTGTTCAGCATGACAATTGGCTTTTTTGTGTTCGTAAACATAAGACACTAATAGATAAATTAGTCTTCAGTGTACTTAAGTTTTCGAAATGAAGTCGCATAACATTAATTCAATATTTTTATTGGGATATAAAAATTGAAATTACTGAGAAGGCATTTATTGGTTTCCACAAAACCTATGCATTCTGGAACACTGAGAGACTCAAGTTCCCCTTCTATTTAATGCAACAACATATGAAATTCTTCCGTAAAATGTTGTGGTAATGACTATTATATATGGGACATACTGGAAACAAGCAAATTTGGAGTGTCACATTTGTAGGTGGAGATCTATAATTTAAGATCAAAATGCAGTTTACTGAGCCTTAAATATATATTTGAGAATACTGAATTAGAGAGTTTTACACTAATAAAATATTGGCAGCATATGGATGCTTGTACATAGTGTCTTTGTATTCTGGCAGTGGATTTTCATGGTCTTCGATATTTCTGTAAAATTCAATAGCTGCAGTTTGATAAATTGAGCCATATTGCAGATTTTGACGCATTGTTATTGCTTTTGCCCCATTTGACTTTTTAGAGCCGTAGAGTATGAAAGAAAAGTTAAACATTTTTGTCACGCTGAATAGTAACACTCGGGAAATTGAATACCAAGATTTCCTTACGTCAATATAAGAATGTAAAATAAGGTAAAGAAGCCATGATGGATGCATGCCAGGTCATGTAGAAAGTAAATTAATGGCTTGCACTGTGGAAATGCTTGGCAAGTTATGCGTATGTGTTATGATAAGGTTAAGTGTTATGATATAGTATGCTCTAAAGACTTTTTAATGTCAAAACATGTAAGTGCCTCATGACTATGGGCAAAAGATTGAGATAACTGCCAGTAACTGAAACATAGTCATGAAAGATTTTTTTAAAACTATGATTAACAGCGTTTTTATTTTACTTTATTTTTTCAACAATGTGTTGTTCCTTCCTTTGGCATAAGCAAGTTTACACTAAGAGACCACTCAGCAAAAGATACGCAGTGATGATTTCCGCTCATCCAGCAGCGGCCACTTAGAGGCGCTAGTGTTATCAATAAGATATTCAGGAAATGCAAAAGATTAACAAGGACAAGCTGAATAGAACCTCTCACCATCTGTGAAAACTAACTTTTTAATATGTTAAGTCTTTCCATGGCTGTCTAAAAAATTTACGTCTCTTGCGTTGCATTGCAGAATATGAAGACTGAGTTTACCATTTCTAGAAAGAGACTGTAGCTTTCTAGCCGAATGAGATCTAGCTAAAACGTTGAACGCGTTTCTGCTTATTATGCGCATCCACAGAATAAACTAAACAGAACTCATTTTGCATGAAGGACGTGCAGGATAAGCAGACAATGCAGTGTAAAAATAATAAGATGCAAATAGTTCACAACTAATGGTAAGAAGCAACTTCGCTTTAGTTAAAAGCTGAGGATTCTCTTGATTTCTTCTGCCTGTTGAGAATAATAGCGTCTTGAGTGACATTCTCAGGCGGGTACGCTTCCGGCGTACTTCACCCTCTCTTCCTAGTAGCATCTCCTTGCTATGGTGAGACTTCTGACATATCTAAGGATGGTGGATTAAATAATACGCTGTTACCAAGCACAGTACACTAAAAATTTTCTTAAAAGTAACCAACTGAAATCTGATTTACAAAACAGAATTGTCATATAAAACAGACAGTAAAAACAAGAGTGATTAATAGAAACTGTACTGACTAGAGAAATAAACTACCGTTTATGTATTATATGTTGTAACTAATATAAGTTAATTACAGTAAGACCCCGCTTAACGCTGTTTCGTTTAGCGCTGTTTCGGTTTAGCGCTCTTTTATTTCAACCCGGGGATTCCACGAAATCGCTCGCAGCATACGGGGATTCCCCGAAATATTATGCAGATCGATAGGTGCAGGTTCAAATACATATCCGAAAGAGTGTACTTGTATTTCTTGTTTGGTGCGGTATTGTACAGACTATTTTGAAGGGGTAAATGTGGAAGATGTCGAAGAAATAATTCAGAAGCAGCGCGCTAGTCTTCTAATGATGAGCTCAAGGAATTAACTGAACAAGAAGAAAACAAAAATGTTGAAAGCAGTGATTCAGAAAAGAGCAAAAAGAACTTTCGATGGCGTTTGTAAAAAGGAGTTTGTCTACCATAACTGAAATAATGGATCAATTCATTGAAAATGATCCGAATTTTGACAAGAGCTCAAAAGTAAGGCGTGGTGTTAGAGATGCTCTATCCGTTTATGAAGAACTTTTAAGAGAACAACGCAAAAGAAAAAGGCAAACAACATTAAATGCTTTTGTCACAAAAAGGCAGAACACTGAAAACGCGGAAGGCTAACTAAATATGACTGACTGAGAATTTTATTTGTTTTTTTTTTTAAGAATATTCGTTTTGTTATTTTATATTTTTGTTTTTATTTTGCAAGAAATAATAATGTGGTATTAATTTGGGCTTTAAGAAATAAATGTTTGGTTTTATTTTTATTAAAAAAACATACTTTTTAAATTTAATACCTAACCAATTTCCTAGCCATCTTACCCTAACCCCAATATTTACATGTAAACATAGCCTCGTTTAGCGCTGTTTCGCATTACGCTCTACTTTGATGGAACGTATCCCCCGCGTTAAGCGGGGTCTTACTGTATAGGTTTTTGAGATTATTTTGTATTATGCTTTAAATCTTTAATTTCTTTTTCAGATTGAGTCGAACCCTGTCTGGCCCAAGAAGATGTGTTAGATGCAGAAAAATGGTGTACTTCTCGCAGTCTCGGTGTAAGCAGTGTGGGTAAGCAGATAACTGGTCTATGGTTTTTATATCTCAGTTATGATGCTTTTATTACCTTAAGATAATATTTTAAAAGTTATTCATACACATTCACGTCATGCGAAAATTTATATGTATTATCAAACTAGAACTACTCTACTAAATATTCTTCTAAATATTTTTATTTTAAATTAAGAAGTGAATTAATTAATATAAATATACTGATGAACTATTTAAATGTTAAAAATTCGTACAGGTTATGAAAAGGAATTTAAACAAAGCCACATAATACAAATGTTTATGCACTGTGTTCAAATGAAAGTGCTTTCAGCTATGGACAAATGTGAAACTATAACCTTCACAATTAATGAAAACATATAAATATAGATTTTGAAGCTGAATAGTAAAGGTTATATTTTGGAGTACATTATAGAAATGGAAAGAGATAAATACACATAATGTACTATAAAAGGAATTGTTTTTAAATTGCAAAATAATTACAAAAAAAATTTTTTTAATTATGAACTCACAAAGTAAACTGTAGGGAATTGTAGGGTTTTAAAAAACATTTATTTTAAGTTTAAAACTATCTTTCCTGTCAAGCCTTACTTTCCCCTGGAACTGCCAATGCCAGAATATGTAAATTTGAGTAGAACGCGCAAGCATTCAAATTATCAGCGGAAGTAGTATGATTTAAATAGAAGGAAACGAGTTCGGTGTGGGAGTTATTCTTACTTAGCGAGCGCGGAGGTAGTTATCGAGAATTGAAGAACCCCGCGTTGCGGCCTATGTGCTTGGCGGGAAGTAGTGGCAATTGTTCCAGTGAGCTTCAAGTCTGCTGAATTAGCAGCGGTATTGTAAAACGCGGTGAGTTAGTTATTTTAGAGAGCCTCGTAGTTAGAATCTTGTCTTTACTTTCTTTTCAGGTTATTATTTTTATTTGACTGCCGAGTTGGCACCGTTTGTAAGCGTCAAGAGGACGCAATTGTAATTTAGTACGTTGAATAAAAAGGGACTTAAACCCTTTACAAGACTCTGTGGTTTTATACAAGCTTTCACAGTCACCTCTTGGTTGCGTGCAAGTTAGAGGCGCGCAACGTTATATTGGCGCCCGAACACTTATCGAACTGAAATGGCCGAAAACTGGATGGAAGCCGCTGGACAACACCAAGAAATGACAACGCAGTTAGAAGGATTTGGATACCTGGTCCAGACTTTGAGAGCATCAATCAAGCCAAACGTCTATTTCGACGGAAAAAATTCGGTGTCCGTATTTTTAGAAGGTATAGAAAACCACTTTCAGCTCTACCCTGTGCCTGAAAGACAAAAAGTTGCCATCGCCACATCAGCACTAAGAGGACAGGCCGCGCTATGGTGGAAAAATATAGGCAAATTTCTTCTAGGTGAATTTGGAAGCCCGACGTATACATTTGAAAATTTCAAAAAATCGTTAGTAAAGGCCTTCCCCATAGTGAAAGATCGCGCACGGCTGGAAGCCGAGCTATATAGTTTCTATCAACGGGATACAGCACAATTGACGGACTTTATTTTACGAAAAATCAAGCTAACGGATATGCTGTATGGGAAAAAACCCGATGCGGAGATTAATTGAAATAATATTACCAAGATTGTTACCCGCTGTCCAAGACTACTTTGAAATTAGAAACCCAACCACATTGCAGGAACTTTTCGAATTGGCGGTGAAGTTTCAAAATCGCAGAATAGCGGAAAGAGCGAGAGGGGAAACATATTCTCAAAGTACCAGAAGGAAGGAGGAAACCAGAAATGGAAATCGCTCATATGGGGGAAAGAACTATCAAGCTAACGCATCGAAACTCGAAGGTCAAGGCCCAAAAAGAAAATTTGAAAATAAGCATCCGCGTACCCAGAAGACACAGATTGAAAGGAAAGCTTTAAACGACTAGAGGGGCCTGTGAAAGGGAGGGTCCAGACCCCGGAAGTTTTAGAAAAACCCTCAAATAGACATCTAAATACAGTCATCGTAAAAAACTCACAGCTACCAATTATACAAGTCCTGGTTGGCGATGTACCAGTAGAAGCCCTCATCGATACAGGAGCAGAAGGAAATTTCATGAGTGAAAAGTTCTTCAAAAAGAATTTTTATAGGATACGACTCTTTAAAACCAGAAATACGGAAATTATAGCGGCGCAAGGAAAAACATGTCACTGCATCGGGAAAGTATCATTAAACTTACAGGTAAAAGAGGAAAATCTCAAAGTATTAATTTTTGTGGTGAAACACCTCCAACACTCTCTTATTTTAGGTATGGACTTTTTAAGGGCCGCGAGGGCCAAATTAAATTTTCAAGATAGTTCCGTGGTGCTGGAGATGGACCAGAGGGTGGTGGAACCGGTGGAGACACCTGAATTGGACCTTAGCCATTTGAATGACCAGGAAAGTAAAGCAATACAGCAAGTGGTGAGTAATTTTTCTCATTTGTTTTCAGAAAAACCGGGAAACTGTCAGATCGTGACTCACAAGATTCAATTAAATGCCGAAAAACCTTGTAGGACTAAACCTTATCGCTATGACAAACAAAAAGACGTAATCATCGAAGAACATATTCAGGAGATGTTAAAGAATAAAATAATAACGCCCATAAATAGTGAGTACGCGAGTCCAGTCGTACTATGTAGGAAAAAGAACGAGTTTCCTCCTTCGGATAAAAGGGCTTGGAGGTTTGCTATCGATTATAGAAAACTAAATAGCATAACTAAATTCCCAGTTTACCCTTTGCCGGTTATAGACGAGATCATTAGACAGATCAAATCGACAAGATATATGTCTACTTTGGACTTAACGTCTGGCTACTATCAAATAGCTATGAGACCCGAAGATATACATAAAACCGCGTTTATAACAAAATCGGGCACTTATGCATTTTTACGCATGCCTTTTGGGTTGTGTGGGGCCCCATCAACATTCCAGAGAGCTATGGACATTGTTCTAAAGCCTGTCCTAGGAAAATCAACTTTAATTTATCTAGATGATATAATTATAACGAGTAGTACGTTGGAACAACACATTAATGACCTCGAACAAGTTTTTAAATTATTAAAAGAGGCCGGTCTTACAATTAACGCCTCAAAATGCAAGTTCGCAACTAAAGAACTTAAATATCTCGGTTATAAAATTTCGCAAAAGGGTATAGAAACGCAAGATTCAAAAATAAAAGCTATTAAGAATTTCCCACCGCCCAACACCGCCAAGAAACTTTCGTCTTTCCTTGGACTTATGTTCTTACTATCGATCTTTCATAAAAGATTTCGCTAATATTGTTGAACCACTCTTAGTAATCAAAAGAAAAAAGAGTAAATTTACGTGGACAGCGGAAGCTAACACAGCTTTTGAAAGATTAAAAGAAGCGCTTATTAATGCCCCTGTTTTAAAATTCCCTGAGGGGGACGAAAACCTGGAAATTGCGGCAGATGCGTCAGACTATGCGGTGGGTGCGGTTCTTATGCAAAATAACCATCCGCTGGCATTTTTTAGTAAAACATTGAATCAAACACAAAGGAATTATACAGCTACAGAAAGAGAAACATTAGCCGTATTAATGGCTGTACACAAATTTCGAGTTTATTTCGGCAAATCGCCAGTAACAGTCTTTTCGGATCATGCGGCTGTTGGTAGACTTTACTCGGGAAAAAACCTAACGCCCAGGTTAATAAGATGGGCTTTAAAACTCCAAGAATATAATATCACAATAAAATATAAACCGGGTAAGGAAAACAATGTAGCTGACGCACTTTCTCGTATAAAACTGGACGATGAAGGTAAATGAACTTAAATGCGCTGTGTTGACTTCAAAAATTTTAGATTCTAGAGATACGGTTATTACTGAACTGAAAGCTGATCCTGAATTTGGAAATATCTATGCTTATTTGAAAGACCCCGAAAGCTTTGAGCATACAGATATCGATGCGATAAGAAATAGAGCAAAAAACTATGAAATAATAGATAATTTATTATTCTATACGAAAACAACAAACGAAAATCTTGAGTATAAGCCAGTCATCCCAGCCTCGCTTCGATTAAGCATTTTGAAGGAGTTGCACGAAAAAAAAAAAACAGCGGGCCACCTCGGGGTCAGAAAGACTTTAAAAAGGGTACGCGAGGCGGTATATTTTCCCGCAATTATACAAAATAGTAACGGCGTATGTCAGGTCCTGCAATCAATGTCAGTTAATAAATGATATTAATTACAGCCCGGCCGGGTACTTAAATAGCATTCGCGCTACATTTCCGAATGAAATTTTAGGCATAGATCTCCTTGGTCCCTTCCCCCAGAGCGAGTTAAATAAAAATCGTTTTCTTTTAGTAATAGTAGATCATTTTTCAAAATGGATAGAAATTGTTCCACTTAAACGCGCGTCAGCCAAAACAGTCGCAGATGCATTCTTACACAGATACATTTTAAAATACGGTGCACCGATAAAAGTCATTAGCGATAACGGAAAACAATTCATTAGTCAAATATTTGAAAACATATGCAATGGACTTGGCATATACGCCATATCAAAATGGTTCCGTATAGACCACAGGCTAACATAGCAGAAAGAGTTAATAAAAACATTGTAAAAATAATTCGCAGTTACGTTAGCACACATCACAAGCGCTGGGATGGCTACATAAATGAATTAGCTTATGCTTTAAGAACGGCACATCATGATACTACGGGAAAAACTCCAGCAGAATTATTTTTAGGCAGAAAGTTAATTACGCCTTTAGATAAATTATTCTTTGTGCAACAAAGAGAGCAGGAATTTAAACAAAAGGACGTGCAAAAACTAATTGATCAGGCGCTTAAAACCTCGGATACGGCAAGAAATAGGCAGAAAATTATATTATGATAGAAAACGCCGTGAAGCAGATTTTAAAGTTGGGGATAAAGTATTGAAACGGAAATTTTCTTTATCAAGTGCCCCAGACAATTTTATGGCAAAGCTAGCTCCAAAGTTTGAAGGCCCCTATGTAATTCAGGAAATCAAAGGAGTAG